TATATATATATATATATAGAGTTCACATATTTAAAGTATGAATGTGTGACTCATTCCTAGCCATTAGATTGGTACATTATGTGTGGGTAAGATTAACTCTTCAATTAAATAATAATTCATTATTTTTATTATTTATTTCTTTATTTTATTATTTTAATTATTTAAATATTATTTTGACAATTGACCATTGACTTCGGCGTTGACCATTGACTCCGGCGTTGACCGTTGACTCCGGCGTTGACCGTTGACTTTCGGCGTTGACCGTTGACCTTTGGCGTTGACTTTCAACATTGACCGTTGACCCTTAGCATGCATTGTGTATGAAGTAAATATGCATCAGTACTATGCACTTAGTATGAACTAAATATGCATCATAACTGAATTATATATGTTATCCTTATGAACTAAATATGCACCAGTAATATCAACTATGTATGCACTGTTTATGTACTAAATATGCACATTTTACTAACTAAATATGCATTTGGAATGAACTAAATATGCAACGAAAATATACAATAAAAAATACATTTTATACAATTAAATTAAATATAATATTTAATGATTTTTATTATATAACTAATTTTAATTTTAAATTGATTAATAACACAAATAAATTGTTATGATTCCATCTCAAATAAAATAGGTATGCACTTAGTATGAACTAAATATGCATCATAATTAAATTATATATGTTATCCTTATGAACCAAATATGCACCAGTAATATCAACTATGTATGCACTGTTTATGTACTAAATATGCACATTTTTACTAACTAAATATGCATCAGGAATGAACTAAATATGCAACGAAAATATGCAATAAAATATACATTTTATACAATTAAATTAAATATAATAATTAATGATTTTTATTATATAATTAATTTTAAATTTAAATTGATTAATAACACAAATAAATTATTATGATTGGATCTCAAATAAAATAGGTATGCACTGTTCATAAACTAAATATACATTTCGTAAGAACTAAATATGTATCATGAATTAAGTAAATATGCATAATAAATTAATTATATAAATATTATTATATATTTAATATATATAACAAGTATGCATTTCGTATTAACTAAATATGCATCATAAATTACCTAAATATTCATAATAAATTAACTAAATATGCATCATAAATTACCTATATAAAATGTACATTTTTATTGCATATTTTTCGCTGCATATTTAGTTCATTGATGATGCATATTTAGTTCATAACAGACGCATATTTAGTTCATAACAGGTGCATACTTAGTTGATATTATTGGTGCATATTTGGTTCATAAGGACTGCATGTGCAATTCATATCTCATGCATATTTAGTTCATATTGAATGCATGGTACGGGATGCATATTTACTTCATACATATGATGCACATTAGGGGTCAACGGGCCAACGCCGGAAGTCAATGGTCAACGCCGGGAATCAACGGTCAACGTCGAAAGTCAACGATTTTTCGCCGGAAGTCAACAGTCAACGCCAAAGTCAACTAATAATTATTTAATTATTTAATTAATATATATTTTAAAGAGTGGACTCATTTTAAGGAGTGTACTCATTGGATCCTCCCCTATATATATATATATATATATATATATATATATATATATTCAAATATCACCTAAATGCAACAACTTCCGCGCTTGCTTTTTTCTTCCGTCCGCCTCAAAATTCTTCAATCTACGATTTTGACTCCATTTATAAACTACACAGACAGATATTAAATGCATTAAATTTATTATTATATTATACTTAATTTAACTTTGAAGCATTAATCACTATTGAGATAAAATATTATTATAATTATTATTATTATTGTTATTGAAATATAATATAATATAATAATAATAATAATAATAACAACAATAATAATAATAATAATAATAATAATAATAATAATAATAATAATAATACTTTAACTCGTCAGACGACTCAAAACCATACTCCTTTTTTTGGTACAAAGGAAGAGGCTAGACGCCTAGTGGGTTACAGCACGGACAGAACGGGAGTAGGCAACCCCAACAAGGTCATGCTGTAACCATTGACAGATCCCCGCCGGCGGGTTAATAAAAAGCCGGTAACCCAAAGGGCCTTCCGCAGCGAAGGAGGCCATAAAGTCGGCCGCATAATTCGCCTCACGGAATACATGTCGTATTTTCACCACCCACTGTCGACTCAAGAGCTCCTTAATCCCTGATACTAACCCAAGGTGCACTCCCGGGGCATCATCAGGAGCAGTAGTAAATGCCACGACACTCGCATTGTCCACCTCGGCTTCTACACTCCGAAATCCCAATTCCCATGCAAGGGATAAGCCTCGAAAAAGTCCCCACAATTCCGCCGCCATGATCGAGCAAGTGCCGATGTTCATCGTGAACCCACCAAGCCACTGCCCTTGCTCATCGCGTAATAGGCCCCCCGCACGCCCCATTCCCGTCGACGGTGTAAATGCTCCATCGGAGTTTAGTTTGATCCATCCCGGTTGAGGTCTCTCCCAATTTATCCATTGGGATGTTCTTGCTCTGCCCGTTTCCTCAAGCCTGCGGGCACCATCAGAAATCCTGTCCAGGCCCTCGATATAGCCAGAAATTTCCCGCAGCCCGGCGGCGACATCCCGCTTTTTCCCCTTGAATAGTAGCTTGTTCCGCCAGCCCCAAAGTTTCCACGCCACCACTCCGAAAGTCCTCGCCCAGTTAACGCCCCCAAACCGAGGCTGATGCCTTAGGTTCGAGGCCAACCAAGACTCCAAGCTTAAAGAGAAGAAGGCTCCATGCGCTGAAACTGGTAGCAGCCGTCTCCAAAGTTCCGCTGCCATCGGACAATCTCGGCATACGTGTACGGTGGACTCGTCGGCCTGGTTGCACAGCTCACAGCGAGCCTCCGAGGTCAAGTGTCTTCGTCTTCGTTCAAGGTTGGTGAGCAATCGATCCTTCGCCAAGAGCCAAAGGAAATTTCGAATTCGTTGGGGTCCCGGCCACTGCCAAACAGCCCGCCACAGCGATCCCCGGCCAGACAAAGGTTCGTCCACAATATCCAAATATTCATAAGCAGATCTCGTGGTGAATTTGCCAGTATCCGATGGTCCCCAATATAGCTTATCGCAACCGAGGGCATCGCGAGGCGGCGGAACGGCCGTGATTTGTAACAACACGGAGGCCGGAACCAGATGGGCGAATAAGTCCCAGCGCCATGTCCCCGCTTCGGAGGTGAAAAACCGAACATTTTGATTGAGTATGTCTGGCGGTATCGCTGCCAATGCGACAGCTTGGAGGGTGGTATCCGAATGTAGCCATTTATCGGTCCAGAAATTGGCCGTCTCACCATTGCGAACCGCCCATCGTGAGCCGCGAACCACGTGTTTCCAAATTTTTTAAACAGATTGTATAGTTCCCGAGCGTGGTCGCCGATGACTAGCCGTGGCCTCAAATGGGTTGTTCCCGTACTTAGCTTTCCAAACCCTCACCCACAGGGCACTTTGGTTCGTGAGGAATTTCCAGCCTAGTTTCATTAACATAGCCTCGTTCATCAACCTTTGTCGTTTGATTCCCAGGCCTCCGTGAGCTTTCGGCTTACAGACTTCCTCCCATTTAACAAGGCTGAGCTTCCTATTGACATCCGAGCCCCCCCAAATGAAACGTCTAATTCGTTTCTCCAGACCCGCACAAATGGAGTTAGGTAAGTGCACAGATTGCATGGTATAGTACGGAAGGGCACTTACTACAGCCTGAGCCAAAACAACGCGCCCCGCCATAGACAAAGAAGCCGCTTTCCACCCAGACAGCCTCGCATTCATCTGTGTCGCCGTGGCTCTTGTCGGCGGCCAGTCTCCGTCAGCAGCACCAGCCGCCAGCACCGTCACCACCCCACCATCCGCATCTCCGTCCGAAACACCGACTTCCTCACCGCCGGCATCAGCTCCCGCCTCAGCCCCGCCGACTTCCCCCCCGGTCAGATCTCCTTCTACTCCGCCGCCGGTTAGCTCCCCGCCTGCGCCCGAGCCAGTCAGCTCCCCTGTTCAGTCGCCGCCTTCTCCAGCTCCCGAATCCGCGGCTCCACCGGCCGACCATTCTCCTCCACCGGCTCCGGCCACCTCGCTGCCGTCCAATGCCCCTGCTCCAAGCAAGAAGCACGGCGGACCCACAACCGCACCTGCTCCAGAGCTGCTCGGCCCACCCGCGCCACCGGCCGGAGCACCCGGACCGAGCGCCGACTCCATTTCTCCTGGTCCGGCGTCAGCCGAGGATGTGGTAAGAAGCTTCTTAAAACCCTCGATGTCGCTAATGTGCGCCGCGTTGGTGCTAATATGCACTTCCAGATCTGAAACCACGGGACACTTTCATAGGCCATTTTATTAGCTTATTCATTAATTTTAATTACAAGGTACAAGGGTTTAAACAGTACTCACATTTATACATTTTACAGTTTTACTCCTAGTTTAGTAGTTTCTGCTAGCTATTTGGATTAGTTAATTGTGTAAACTGTTACGCGATGATCTAACGATTATAAATCCCGACGAAATAATTGTGTAACGGGACTGTAACATCTCCCATAATTATTCGGTTACATGAATGATTGCCCAACGAGACCGTAGCATCTCCTATTATTATTTACTAATTTTACATTAGTAAATATTATTTTACTATTTTAAGTTTTTTTCCTAAATAATTATGTGTTAACGTGTTTGCAGAACGGAGCAGAGAGATTAGTGAGTTTGCAGCAGACATGGCCACGGGCGGCCCGGCCCGTGGCCCGACCCGTGACCCGGTACCGACCCGGCCCGGCCCGGTACCGGTACCGGCATGAACAGTGCCGGGTTCGAGAACCGGACCGCGGCCAATCCGGTCCGGTTAAGGGTCACAGGTTTTTTTTTGTTGGTCCCGCCGGGCCGGGCCGGGCCGGGTCATTTTTTTTGCTTTTTTTAAGGGCCGTACCGGCCCGTGAACCGCCGGGCCGGTGAACCGGCGGTTCGGGCCGGTTCTACGAACCGGCCCTTCGTTCCTAGCGGGCCGGTTGCGGTTCGACTGTTTGAGGGCCCGTGGCCCGGCGGGCCGGGCCCGAAACCGGCACCTGGCCACGTCTAGTTTGCAGAAGCTGCTGGGAACCGTGTTTGGCTCTCTCTTTTTCTTACTCCTTTAGACAAGAATCTGAAGTACATTACTAATTTGCCCTTCCATGTTTGTGTATTTCTCGGATCTTGCCTGTCGGACTCTTATTATCTTTTCGGATCCGCTTGGGGATTTGCCGCATTTTGTCCTTTTGGTCTCTTATTGTTTGTACTTGTGCTTTTGTAGGAAGCCTTATGTTTGTCAATTTTAGCCCTAATCACTTCACTTACCCGTAGTTATTTTAAAAATTAAATTACTATTCACCGCCCTCCTATTATAATGTAAACCGCTCTTATTTACCACTAGTACGTAACCTCGTATGATACACGGACTGTATATCTTTTAGGTGTATAGTATAAATTGAAGTGTATTAATAAATAAAAAAGTGAAATATTATAAATTGAAGTGTACTAATATATATATAAGAGTGATAATACATGTGGAAGTTGTCAAATCAAAAAAATGTTCCTAAAAAAGATAATATATTATTAAAAACTTCATTTTACACAACATTTTGATTATTGGGCAACTCGGTGTCTTTCGAACTAATATTTTCAAAATCTTTTTATTACCTACACACGAAACAATAACATATATTCGGTTATGACTGAAAACGAAATATTTCTTATCATTATGCATACAAAACTATACGTAGGAACTTGTGTCGCGGAACTTAATTGGAAACCTAAAATCTGAAGGATTTATTTATCATATGATAATTTATATGGCCGTTCGAAAAATGCTATTAATTTATTATTTTAATATCGATTATACTTGATTAGCTAAATAATACTTATTAATTTTTTTATACTCTTTTTAATTATATAAAAGAATATTAATATGTATGCTTAAAATACTAAGAATATATAAAATATCATATTACATATGTAAGATTATCTAAAAATATTAGATGTGAGGTCACCTGAAGTTTTTTTAAATTAAATTGTACGTAAAACATGTTTAAATACACTTAACTTTAATATATATATATATATATATATACATTTCAAATAAATTAACCTTATTCTTATTATATATATGTATATAGATTATTATTATTATTATTATTATTATTATTGTTATTATTATTTTGTAAAATAACACTCAACTATTACTGCATTATTTTGTAACTCTACTGTTCATTTATTTAAATAATACTATCTTCTTACATAGGACGGAGAAATTTAAAAGCATCTTCTCTTTGCTAAAAAAAAAAAAAAAAAAAAAAAAAAAAAAAAAAAAAAACAAACTTTGACAAGTCCCATATTTATCAGCATAACACCAATTCATACTTCAATGCGCACAAATTACTATCCTCAAGATTTAAGCATGAATCACAGCATCTTATACTAATTATGCTCCTAAAAGATGCATGTGGCGGCCCAAGAAAAAAAAAATCAACCAAATTTTTTAAGCCCCTTTCTAATATAAATAAGATTTTCTGAAAATTTCACTTTCACGTTTACTCCCTAAATCAAGATTTGTTTTTACTTTATTAAGATTTTGTTGTGCTTGATGTCGCGCCCTGGCAATGTCGAGGAATTAATGAAGAAGCCAAATGCGATCTCAGTTCTATATTGCGGATTTTTTGGAAAGTATCAAATTTAAGGGTAACAAATGCCCTAATTTAAGGGTAGCATTTAATGCTACCCAATTTTCTTGGAAAATATAAAATAAAAAAGTTATTAAAACTGGTAAGTAATTAATGATAATTAAAATTTGACCAAGGTTGACCAGCCATTTTAAAAAAATGGTAAATCTTATTATATATATAGATTATACACTGTAACTCTCACTCTCATACTCTCTTCTTTCTCTTTTTCCTCCCAATTTCTCGAGCTTTAAGGCCTCTTTTCACCTCTAAAAAAGTTTCGTTGCGCGGCCGGCCGACGGTAGATGCCAGCCGTGAGTGGTGTGTCCGGCCGAATTTGCTGTACCCAGGAGGTGTGTCCTTCGGCGCGACCGGTGGCAAGGGTTCAATCGCGCCCTACGCGTCCAGCATTATGGGTCGGAGGCCTCCATGTTGCCCGACAACCATGGTTGGTCAAGTCCATGGTTGCCGTCTCCACCGGCCAATGTCCGGTGTTCAGCGGCCTGCGCCGGCGGTTTTTTAATTTGAAATTATGTATTATATTTAAATATTTAAAAATAAAATCTACTTAATTTTTCACTTAATTCGCTTAATTTTTTCACTTAATTCACTTAATTTTTTTACTTGCTTCACTTAATTCAATTAGTTGTATAATTGAAAAAAAAAAATCTATAATTTTGTAATTAATTAGTTGTATAATTATATAATAAAAAGTTAAATTATATTTATTTTGTGGTTAAGAACATTTACTAAATTGATTTTTAATACGTTTTAGGAAAACAATTACTTGTAATATTTAGTAATATATTTTAGAAAATAGTAACAATAATTAATAATATTAATTATAATTAGTTTGTGTAAATATTATTCATAAATAGTTAATTGTAAATATCTTATAACAATTAATAAAATATATGATTTAATAATAAATATAAAGGGTATTTACTAATTCTTAGTTTAAATATTGTTGATTTAGAGTTTTGGAGGACCTCAACGACGAGGCACCGGAGATGAGATTGTCGAGTATTTTGGTTCTGGACTTCAACACGCAAGTAGTTGTTGCATAAATGCTTACGCTCGTCGGGAGAGAGATGAGATGATCTGTCATGTTCGCATGAGGCAAACTGGTCACGCTGATCAGACTTGTAGTTCGTGACCCTCCGCTCTGGCATAGAGAGGTGATCCGCCATGCTTATTCGTGTCTGGCAGTTCGAGACCTATCGTTCCGGTACCGATTGGTCAGCAGCGACATTATGATGAGTCAACAGCCAGGGTGCAGTCTTCAGATGAGGAGTATGAGGACTACTACTCTGCAGATGAGCAGGACGTTACTCCTCCTCCCCTACGACATCCTCTTGCATGACCTACGGGTCCTGCACGCCCTGCTCCTCCACGACAATATGGGGGCCATATTGCGAGCACTGGATCATCATGTAAAATAATTTACGTATTTATTATTTTCTATCATTAAATATTTTTATTTAATAATAGCATATAATCGATACAGTCAATAACAATATGTCGCATAATTCTAATGCATGTACTATCAAACGATCTAAGAGTGAACATGAGGCTGCCTGGGTCGTTAAAGGCCCAGTGCCCGACGGCCCCATTGATGGAACTGTCATCCCTAACTTTCTAGGGTACGTAGCCTCCCGCATGTGGAATGGAGAGCTTAGAGGCATTCCGGAATGGCAGAACATATAGAGAGTGTACATATAGAGAGTGTACGACAATTTGAGGCCTTGACTCTCTGGAATGGATGAAAATGATACAAGAATAAAATCATATAAATAATTACATATGAAATGGATCTATAAAAAATGAAAAAAAAAATGTGTAAAATTATATCATAAGCTGATTTTTTTTTTAAATAGTTACTTTGTTAAGTATCAAATACAATACATGTTTGGTACGTGTATTTTGACCTCACAAATTGTTTTGTAGATCATAGGTTTTCTTATAAGGGGTGTTTGTTTATAATTTTTTTTTAATTCATACTCAAAAATCAACTCAACTTTAAATTAAACCCATCATCTTCAATATAATCAATATCCCCCTATATATAATTTTCGAATCTGTTGAGCTTAAGTGGCATGCTCTCACTCTTCAGATTCATATATGGCAAAATATATTTAGTATTTATAACTTTTTATTTTGTATTTTATATTCTCATTTGGTGAAAAAAGACATATATATATATATATATAATATAAATATAATTTATGTATATATCCGTTTTGTTATTTTATTTTTTCATTCTTTTTTTTCGTAGATAAAGCCGAAACTAGACATAAATAAAAAAAATATTAATATTGGTAAATGAAATATTATGCTAATGTCGCTCTCGGACGCATTGATGTGCATTCGGCTTAACACTATGGTGCACTATGATAATCACTCATGTGCATCATATATAACAATATTATGTGTTCTATGTCGTGTGTAAGTTTATGTGCACATCTAAACTAACACTGAATTGAAAGCCATGTCCGAAACACCAAACAAATGTATTTATATCTTCATTCGACACATCCGAATAAAGTTGATTGTCCATGGTGATTAACCCCTACAGAAAGAGCAAAAGGCATATCATAATTATTCATGAGGTGCGTAGTGTCGAAGGTGATATCATCGCTAAATTCCTATACGCTTCTCGACACTGGTTATCTGCCCAAAATATATTTTTCAAGCGTCACTTTTCATCTAAATCAATAGAAAAATAAAATCTAGGACTACATGCTTGGATTTTTGAAAAGCAAGATGATATTGTAGTTGCATCTCCTTCCCCAAGTCTCAAATTCCGAACTTTGTTAATAAAACTTTTGCAATTTTTCTTAACATATGTCATATTATCGAAGCCACCGACCTCTACTACAGTCTACGGCAACATTATAGCTTTTATGAATAGGTATCCCTGCTATATCATTTACTTCAAGTTGTCTTTTGATCTGGTTGCTTACGTGTTGATTGCATTTGTACAACCTGGATTTAGACGGGCTTATCTTATGGTTATGCTTTAAATGAACAAAGTTCACACGCCATACTTCACAAGCATCAGAACAAGCAATCAACCTTGCTTTACCCTGTTTGACTAGTCGCTAGCGGATTCAGAGATGTATTGTTCTTATAATTACGTCGATACGTCACATACTGTACGATTCCATCATCACATTTTGTTGAATTTCTTTTTCGAATAGGAAAACTCGTTCGATAAGCATACTCACCCCTCTTCAAATATCTCTTTGAGATACGATGTTTCTTGGTAGAGAAGGTGGGTAGCGAGCAAGCCGCGAAAGCCCTACTTCATCGTTGGAGTTCGCGAGATAAGCAAGACGGGTCGAGAAGTTGCTATGACTTCCTAAGGCCCCATGGTACATTGAAGCCTTGAACGGTGGCTTTTTTGGGGGGCCTTGCGATACCCCAAAGCACTCCTTCATTCTTTGGCTAGGAGTGCTCAATTGTCTCCGTACAAAGGATCATTTAGAGTTCCTCGAGGTAGACTAGAATTGTTCCCTGTGCGGTGGGGTGGATGAATCATTGAGTCACATTTTCTTCGAATGCCATTTTTCTTTTGAGATATGGGGGAGATTTGTGATTAGATTAACCTACGTCATAGGCCATCGACTCTCAAATGGGTCATTAAATGGACTAAGAAGGAGATTAGAGGGGCTAATTGACAAACCAAGACGAAGAAGGCGGCGCTCGCGGCGATCGTGTACTTCATTTGGAATGCGAGGAATATGTTGGTTTTCGAGAATGAATCTCAACCTCCAAGCCTTGTGGTACGTAAGGTCAAAACTCATATTTATCGTACTATATTTGCAGTGTATTCGAATGTACTTGTCGAGTTTGAGAGGAAAAGCCTTGGGCTTGGATAGACTTATCTCTTGCATTAGGGACATGAGATGCGCTACTGCGTCTTTACATTTGTGTGACGATTAGAGATCTGAGTGAGCAACCGACCTGTGGTTGCCCTCGTAGTATTATTATTCGCGAGTGAGGAACCGAGCTTGTGGTTGCCCGCTACACTTTTGTATGCCGATTATCGGTCGTCCAAACCATAGTTTTGATCTATTAATTTACTTTTACCGATAATAAAAAAAAAAAATACCTCATTCTCATTAGCAAATTTCATGCCTACTTCTTAAATTTTCTCATTTTTAGTTGTTACCGTTCCCTCGGTCATACTATGATCATCCATAAGTTCTAAAGTTAACCATAGTTCCTGCCAATATTGAGATATATGAGTCATGTTATAAAACCAAAGTTTCTTAATTAAAGTGAATATTTTTTTTAATACAAGCAAAATTTGAATTAATGTATTACTATTTGATATGTCCCATTCCTGTGAACTTGATCATCATCCATGCCTGTTACGAAATATTGAAAATTAGTAAAGAAAAAGAAATAGAATTTGATCTGCGAATTTGTAATCTGAGGAGCATGCCGTAACAAAAGGATGGTCCCTTGTGCATTTCATTCTTGAAGGACGCCCATTCTTGATCCAAGGGGGCCAAAAATCACTTCCTCGGCCTTTTCAATAATCAATAAGGCTCGCTAGCAAGATGAAGATGAACCGGGGACCGTAAAGGAAATACTTCTATGTACATAACCACAAAATATCGCAAACTCATCTTGCGAAATACTTCTATGTACATAATTTATGTACTTTCAGTATTTTTCAGTTAAAATACATTATACTTTTTTTTAAGAAACTTTGTTTATTTCAATGAACTTTTTGATGACCATCAAATAAAAATTAATGAACATTAATAACAGTAACTAGTATAATACTCATGTACAACATGGGTGCTAAGTTATGAAATATATGATAAAAGTTATTGATGTTCAATACCAAACTTAACTTCAGAGCAAAAATAATATAAAAACAATATCACGAAGCATAAATTTTTGTCATGCCAGCATATGAAGCGTGATAAGATATCACTTAAACTCAACGATGAGATGACTTGGGTCTCTTCCAGCTTAACCAGTGGTCTCGTGTTTGAGCCCTGGGAATGCAGCAGTGTTAAAACTCTTGAGGGAGAGCTTTGCCGCCCTTGTGGTCCTACCTGACTCGATTCCGAATTAGTTGATTCCTCTGTGAATTC